GTCCACAGTGTCAGCAGGTGAGCCTCTCATCAGTTCATATTCATTTCTGGGGAAATAAAGTCCCTGGATTCCTTCCACCTCAAGTTCTCTCATATCTGGTAGAAACCATGTTCCAGAATTTTAGAGTTTCTCACTATGGTGATTATAGCAAAAGCCGGCAGAGGAGGTGGGAGGGGAAGCCAAATGACCTTCACTGACTTTGAAACTTTTCTCTTAAGAGATGTAGCCTCACCATGGACTCCTCTTCCTACATCCCTATTGCTTTTTCTGGAGAGTTTGCTAAGGGTAACTTGAAGCCACAGGTAGGACAAAACAATGTTTCTTTTCTTGTACCTCTCCCTTTCCATTTATTTTCAAGGGGCTTCTGTATCTGGCAATCAAAATGCCCTACACACCCCCCTTTTTTAAAATGTCAGAAAGTAAGCCATCTCCAAGTGGCAGACTACTGCCACATTTGACCACAGAGAAAAAAAGACAAGAGCCTTTGGTGTGGGTGATACCTGTTTGCTAAAACAAGTCATCTGTTCTTTTTCCTAGAAGACCCCCTTACCCCCCACTTTTAAATCATAGCTAACAGGTTTCTAGTATGAGGACTCCAGTGTTCCTGCTTATAGGAACTCTAACTCTTCTGTCACTTAATAGCTGAACAATCTGTACTAAGTCAATTTAGAATTGGATGTCTGAGGGTTTGTAGGCACCATATAATCACCCAGGGGATGAGTAAATGTGAGGTGGGAGTTTTCAGCCAGTTTTAGAAGAGCTGGTTGAATTTAAAGTGTGTGTGTGTGTGTGTGTGTGTTTTAAAAAGTGTCTCAAATTTTTTTTTTCAGAGTCGAAGTAAATGTCTTTGAATGGCCTAAAGATGCCAGCTCATAGACCCTGAATTACGTAAGTAGAGGCCATATTTCTTTTCTGGGTGCAATTATTGCATTGTTAAGAGTGGCTTTCTACTCACAAGCCTGTGATTCACTTTTCATAATGTGACGTCTTAGTTCAACTGAGAGGGTCATATATCAAGAAGCTAGCTGGTCCTTTATTTTCTCTGTTCATTCTTTCTACCCTTCCTTCCTTCCTTCCTTCCTTCCTTCCTTCCTTCCTTTCTTCCTTCCCTCCCTCCCTCTTTCCTTCCTTCATTCTTCCCTCCCTTCCTTCTTCCTTCCTTCTTTTCTCCCTCTCCCTTTTTCCTTTCTTTCTTCCTTCTTTTTTTCTCTCCTTCCCTTCCTCCTTCCTTCCCTCCCTCCCTTCCTTCCTCTCTGCCTGCCTCTCTCTCCTTTATATAAATAAGCATCCTCTCAATGATATAGTTGGTAGCAGGTCTACTACTTTTGAGCACTGCTTGCATATATGAATTTGCTCACTGTTCGACTAGGCTGTATCAACACAGGACATCCTGAGGGGCTTAACTCCATGTGCTCATTTTCAGGCTTAACAAGCATCCAGAAACATAAGTGAGGACCTATCTCTCCGAACATTTTATCTATGTCCAATCTGTCATCATCAAAGAAGACACAACCAAGAGTTTAAAAGGCTTTAAAGTAAAAATTCCCAACAGGAGACAGATGAAATAAGAGGTGAATTATCAACTCCACTGAGAGCAGCTACCTTCATCAATTTTCTCCCAGTTATCTCCAGTTTTCTTCCCCATATCTACACCCTGAGCTACGAAGACTTAGGGTGAATATGGCAGGTGGAGCTTGTGGGAAGAGGCTGAGACCAGTTATCTATCCAGTGGCCTGCTTTTTTTTTTAAAACTGTGCTGGTCTACATAGCAAATAGAGGTCATTTTAACTCTTGTCTACTGTGAGGCATATATATATATATATATATATATATATATATATATATATATATATATATATATGTCTCCCAATGAGAAGGCACATTTAGCCAAATGCAGAGGCCTTGTAATCAGGTTTAATCCCTTGGACAGAAATTCCCAAAGGAAGAAACCATTAATACTTAGGATCCTAGCGTCAGTATACCATGTGGGTTTGTTTTCCAAAGTAAGGAGTTGGGGGAGGGGGGAGGAGGGAGGGGAGGATAACATAAAACAGCACAACATGGTACCCGAAAAGAGTACTGACCAGTAAGTTTTGTCAAGACACAAGGAAAACATCACCTCTGAGCACAAAGCCCACGTGTGGAATGTGTCAATAATGTTTCTTCTCCATAGCTTCATTTTCATTGTAAGTTTTCCCTCTAGATATTTGGTTTTGATGACAGACATACAAGCTTTTCAAGCACAATACAGATCAAGGAATGTAAAATAATCTTCATGTTCCTTTGAAATTCTTCTGCAAGAATGGTTATTACAACTGGCAGCAACCAATGCTGGAGCTGCTCCGTCCTTTCACATCTGTATTCAATGCTAGGAGGAGCTTAGTCATAGGAAGCAAGTGGCTGTGAGTGATTGGGCCAGAGCCCTTCGTCATACACAGAGAGGCAACGTGCAGTCTGGTTGATTAATCAGGAACTTGTAGTGAGAAAGGCTAGGTATCATTCACAGCAGATGGAGGGTTAAAGGCATTTGGTAGAGAACTCTGGAGCACTGCTTTACAAGTTACATGCAAACACATGTGTATGCGTATGCATATATGTATATGTGTGTACACACACAAATATAACACACATACCTGGATAGATTTATACAGGTATGGGTGCATCCATAATCCCTCCCTAGAACAAGAGTGGGCAGCTTTCAGAGTAGCAGTCAAAAAAGACTTGTGTCCACACTTTTTTTTTCACAAGTTAACAATGGAATGACTTCTAAATCTTTGGTTTATCAAAAAACAAGAAAGAAGAAAACTTCTAAAGTCACCTTTTTTGAGTATTTTCTCAAATAAGTGCCCAGTGAACACATTTTTTTTACAAAAGAAGAAACAGTGCCTCAGTGACTTAAATTAAACAAAACAACAGCAATAGCTAACTTTCTACAGCATGCAATATTATAATGGTGAACTGGAGTCACATTGAGCCTTAAGAGAAACTGTCCTGCAATTTGAGTTTTTGTTTTTTCCATTCCCGCCGCCATCCCCTTCCCCCCAACTTCCTGATAAAACACAAGGGGGAATGAGGAACACTCACTAACCTATAATCTTTTTTACCCTCCAACATTTGTAATGTGCAATTGTCCTTCGCTTCCAGCCCCAAAAGATTCTCTTCTGTAAATATCACCCAGATATAACTTTACAATACAATGATTTCCAATTTCTTCAGAGTAATGCAACTCAAGTTTGCCTGTAAATCAGATGAAACTTGGATGAGCTTTGTGACCAGTGGGCCACATCACCAGTTTCTACCTAAGGAAATTCTTGTGAATTCCTTTTGCAGCAAATTAGGCATGTTATGAATAACATCTATGAGAGAGCTTGGATTAACTTTCTAAAAAGAAATGGCTTTAATAGGTGGATGGCAGCTTCTTGAAGTTATATGGGAGTTTATTCTTATGATGGGTGTGGGGTGGGGAGGGGAGATGGGCAAAAGAAGAATAAAAAAGGATTTATATGTTTTAAGAAAAATTGAGTGAGAGGAAAAGAAAAAAACTGAAGTGGGAGTCCCATAATAAAAGAACAAAAGAAGACTTTAGACCCCTGTAAGAAGTTGTAACCTAGTGCGGATGGCTCACACCTATAATCCTGGCTACTCAGGATGCTGAGATCTGAGGATTACAGTTTGAAGCCAGCCCAGGCAGAAAGGTCCCAGTAAGACTCTTATCTCCAATTAAGCACTGGAAAAACTGGAAGTGGAGCTGTGGCTCAAATTGGTGAAGTGTTAGCCTTGAGCAAAAAGAGCTCAGTGACAGCACCTAAGCCCTGAATTCAAGCCCCGTGACTGCCAAAAAAAAAGGAATTGTCACCCATAGCATCTCTTCTCAGGATATATGAAACAATCTTTCTCCCTTATCCCCTGTGCCTTCAGACTATAAAAGTAGGGGGCTTGTGTTGGAGAATCTGCAGAATTTCTTTCTGCAGGGGGATTTCTTGCTTCAAGATTTTCACCGATGGTCAGGCATGGTGGCTCACACTTGTAATCCTAGCTAGTCAGGAGGCTGAGATCTGAGGATCGAAGGTCAAAGCCAGCCCGGACAGGAAAGTACATGAGACTCTAATTTCCAATAAACCACTAGAAAACCGGAAGTGGCACTGTGACTCAAGTGGTAGAGCACTAGTCTTGAGCTGAAGAGCTAAGGGACAGCGCCCAGGCCCAGAGTTTAAGCCCCACGACCAACCAAAAAAACAAAGATTTAGCACAGAAGATACTCTGGGAAAATTTGGGGTCCTGGAAGAAAAGAAAAAAATAGTTCTGGGTGGCTTCTTGGGACTTAGTGCAAGTTAGTTAGTTGCTCTCAGTGATCATAAAATCATGGATTGGAACCAGTCCAGTGTGTGTGGGGAGCGGGGCGGTAGGGGGACATTGAGTTGATTTTATTTTCCTGGGAATGGATTGTCCACTACTCTACCTCAAGGTCTCCCTCACTGAAGCTGGGTCTGGCAGTTCTTTGGAAAGATAGATAGTGGATAGGAAGTGACCTTTCCATGGGTGTATCTTCTGTAAACTTTGACAGACTGGCTTTGCTGTACTCCCCCCAAGGCTTACATTTTCTTTCCACAGTATGTCTAGTAAATTCAGGCCAAAAGCTTGCATTGTTGAGTTTACACCCTAACAATGCCTGAGGGGGGGAATAAATCTATGGGCTAGAAAGAAACAATACTGATATTCAAAAAGGCAGCGAGAACTTGGTTTTTTGGCATCCTTAACCAGAGAAAGCACATTTTTGAATGTATTGCTGAAATAATACTGAATGTTGGTCAATATCACACCGTGGCTACAGTTGTTTTGTTTTGTGTTTGATTTTCTTTTTAAATTGATGTGTGTTGGTATTTGTGGATGGTCACAGAAGTTTTCTTGGCTTCTTTTCAATTTTCTTTATGTTGGATGACATCAGTATTTGTGGCTTGTGGCTTTCCCCTATGGGACCCTGTTGGTCGCCTTCTTGTGTCCTACCATTGCTGTAAGTGAAGATCCATGGGGGAATTCAAATTAAGATCTGTAACATCCAGGAAGTCGATGTTGAAGATGCTGGGGCCGCTGGTGGCCAGGGAGCTGAAGCCTGGGGTGGATCCGGGTGGGGTGAGGTCCAGCCACTCCATGGTCTCCCACGGAGCTTCTGTGAAGCTCAGCTGCAGACCATTGCTGTCCATAGACGAGGGTGAAAACTGGGTGTGCATCGGGGAGAGGGGACCCGGCAGGATCTCATGGGCGTTGAACAACTCTTCTGCAGACTTCCCAGAGAAGCCATCCATGATCCCTTCAAAAGCAGGCTCCTCGTTCCCAATTTTGAGCAGAGCGACATCGCTCACCTTTCCTACAGGGCTGTGGGAGTTTAGCAAGACCTCCAGGTGCTCCTCACTGTCGGTGTAGTGGTCAAAGGAGACCTGGCCCCCACCAGAGGAAGACTGTGAGAAGGAGGCCGAAGGCTTAGGGAGGACGGCAGTGGGGCTGCGGGAGGACTGGGCTATCTTTGGAACTTTTTGAAGGCATAAATGATCCTCTCTGGCATCAGCTGGCATTTCTGTGGGTAAAACACAACACAAGGTGAATAGTTAAATCACTGCTGACCCAGCACGGCCACGCGGTGGGAGTCTGGAACGAATGAATTGCACATAGACAGACATAACAGGTGGTCGTAGTTCCCTGCTCAAGGCTCATTTCAGTCTCATCCCTAAGCTGCTCTGGGTGGCCATGTGTCTTGGGTCTCTCCCCCTACAAACCATGTGTTCCAGAACTTGCACTCTGATCATAATCAAGTACTTGTCCACAAACTCCTTTTCCTCCTTTACCATCCCCTCCATTATCTTCTCTTTGGGAGTCAGCAAGTAAAGGGACAGGTGTCACTCCCATATCCACCATTTTGATTATTACTCTCCCTCCTTGTGTGTGTGTGTGTGTGTGTGTGTGTGTGTGTGCTTGAACTCAGGGCCTGTCCCTTAGGGTTTGTTTGTTTTTTGCTTGTTTTTTTTCAAAGCAAACAAAGTAGAGCCACAACTCTGCTTTCAGCTTTTGGGTGGTTAATTGGAAAGAATCTCCTGGACTTTTCCTAACTGGGCTGGCTTTTAGTTGCAATCCTCAGATCTCAGCTTCCTGAGTAGCTAGGATTATAGGCATGAGACCCTGGCACTTGGCTTACTTCCCTTCCTTCTTAGTAGTCCTCGGAGGTACTTAAGCAGCACCTCCCTCCCATACCAAGCCTAGCCTCCTATCAGACTCTCTTATCCATTTAAACCCCATTTCCTCATTCACTGCATTTGTATGTCTTCAAAGTTTCTCATTCTGTGAGACTTCGACGTCCTCAGAATCGCTTATGATCCGCACTGGCCTTTCAGCTCCTGGATTTCCCCTTCAGGTAATGGCTCTGTTGCACCATCGGGGAGAGGGGACCCGGTAGGATCTCATGGGCGTTGAATCCCTCCAAGGGATTCCATTTCAAGCAAAATTTCCCACTCTTGATCCCCCCTCTCTCACCCCTCCTGCTCTGGTCTCAAGTACTCAGGAAAATGATTTGGCAGTCACTTTGGAGTCACTCTAATCCACTGACTCCACAATTTTACATCTGCCCATCAACTTATGCATCCACCTCCTTCCTTGGCTAGCCCATGTTCTTTGATCCACCAATAGAGTTATTCTCTTGCAAATATGCTGTGCTCTGTTGTTCTTCTATCTTTTCTCTGTACTAGCTTAGCAAAATTCCTGGAAAAACCTTACCATCTGCTTCTCCTGTGTGCCTGCCCTGAGTTAAATGGTAATTTTTTTTTTACACAACTGAGATGATGGGTTTCGCTTTAAATTCATGCCCATCATTGGCATTGGAAAGTGAGCAACCATCTTAATTGCATTTCTCTAGAAAACTCAGTTCATTCATGATGAACTCATAACTATTCTTTTGTCCTGGAGTCTCCCAGTCTCTCCTAACTCTTCCCTGTCTGTGCTACATACTCTGTCTTAAAGAGGGGCATCTGGTGTGGGCTTTCATATTCCCATCAGAAAACATATATGCAGCTCTTCTTTCTTGTTACAATAGGAAGTACCTATTCAGTTTATTATTCGTGACCCATACTAGACTGTATCTCCCGTAGAGGTCGGCAGTTTTCTGGTGAAGTCTTGAATCTAGCATGATGCCTGGTCAATCCTTCTCTGACTTCAAATGTTGATACCTATTGTTCAGCCCTGTGTGTGTACTCTCCCTCGCTCTCTCTTTCTCTTTCTGTCTCTGTTTCTCTCTGTGTCTCTGTCTCTCTCTGTCTCTTTCTCTGTCTATCTCTCTCCCTATGTCTATCTCTATCTCCTTCTTGCTACCTACACATATTCACTTTAGATCCTTTCATTCATTTCTGTGTTTTCAGATTCTAGGTACATACTCTATAATTCTTTAAAATAAGTAAATGAATAAGTTAAAAGAAAGCAAGGAACACAAGATAATTGCTTTTTTATTGGTAAGTTGAATGATGCTTAACCATGAATGGACCATCCAGCTGAGTTTCAGTTTGAGTAAGTAACACAATATTTTCAGTATCTGTTGGATTTCATCTTACAGTTAAGGAGATAGGGACAGTTAATTTGGAATGGGAGAAAGACACGGTTTACGAAGAGAAAGGTGGAAGAAATGAAAACTATTTTGATGATGGGTGAAAAGTGTTGCCAGGATGGAGGCAGCAAGGAATCAGCCAGTGCTGCACCTGAAACTCAGAGGAAATGACTCGACCTGCACAACACTTGGTACTATTGACTCAGTGTGTATCACTTTGATCCTAACACATCACATCCCAGAATGCAAAGGTGCAGTGGATGCTAGTAGGTGGAACACAAGGCAGTCTTACCTCCACTTTCAATAAGGACATCCAGAAGTTCATCCATCTGCTGGCTCCGAGTCATTTGCTGGTGTAAATTAATCAATGGAAAGCAGAGAGGTTAGAAGGTGGTTTCTTCTGGCAGAAATCAGTAGGATCAATATGTTGTTGAACTAGGTTTAAGTTTTTTTTAATTGTAGTAAGATGTATATAGCATGAATTCACCATCTTAATCATTTGTAAGTGTACTGTTCTGTGGTATTAATTACATCCACCTTTTTTGAGCAGTCATTACCACCATTCATCTCCAGTGCACTTTTCAGCTGCAAAACAGAAATTCTGTACCCATTAAACAATAACTTCCCAACTCACACTTTCAGCTCTTTTTGGTGATAGTAGGGTTTAGAACTTAAAATCTTATGTTTGCTAGGCGGGTGCTCTACTAATTTAAGCCCTGATTCCAGTCCTTCTTGCTTTCATTAGTTTTTGAACAGGCTTTTACATTTCACCTGGGCTAGTCTAGACCATACTCTTTTTATTTACACTTCCTGCATAGCTGGGATGACAGATGTGTGTCATTAGGCCTAATTTTTTATTGGTTGAGATAAAGTCTTATGACTATTTTTTTGCTATGTGTGGCCTTGAACCAGGACCCTTCTGCTGTGCACTTTCTATGTAGCCTGCATTCTAGCCAGGAGCCACCCCAGCTGGCTCACCATATCAATTTTCTGTCTATGAGTTTGACTACTCTCAGCCCCTTACATAAGTGAAATCATATAGTGCTTTTCCTTTTATTTTCCTAGTTATTTCACTGATCATCAGGTCCTTAAGGTTCATCTGTGTTGTAGCATGTGTTAGAATATCCCTCCTAAGGACAGACCAACTATTATCATGTGATCTACTATATTTTGTTTATCCATTCATCTGCTGATGAATGCTGTTTCCATCTTTTGGCTACAGAGTATACTTCTCTTATGAACTTGGTATTGGCTGAAGGCTTTACCTTACAACTGAAATAATCCTTTCCAACAAAAGGGGAAAGGAAGGAAGAATGAGCCCTGGCATATGGTATGTACTTTAGTTCATCCATATGAGAGATTTCCACCCTGAGTTCAATTATCACACACTCAGAAATGAGTTGCTGTGAAGGTTGCTGTGAAGGTGGTTCAGGAACTTGGCTCAGAATTCTTCTGTTCCTCTCAGAAAAAGCTTGAGAAACCTGTAGACCCTTGTGCATTTACCCCTTCTCTCTGCCAATGAGACATGGCTAAGTAGAGTCTCATTTCTGGAAGCCCATTTTTCCTGGCCTTTTTTCTTTTCTATCAAAGCTGTGAAGAATCAGCAGGCATCTTAAATACCAGGAGGGAGGAAGTGAGGAAAAGGCAGTGGTCCCTTTCACTCTCCTCAATTCCCAGAGCCAATCACTATCAGTGGGTATCAGTAATCAAAATAGATGGGAAAACTGCCCAAAGAATGAGTTATGGCTGGTCCAAAAATTCCCACAGCCTATAGCATCCTGGAAGTTATGTAGCGTCAAATATAGAAGAACTGTTGTTTGGCAGAAAAGTGCTTCTCATATTGCCAGATCCCCTAAATTTTCAGAAATGAGAAATCCCTCTTTGCACAATGCCTTTGATCCTTCACACACTCTGTAGACCAAAGGAAACCTGGTCAGCAATGGATTTAGATATTCTTTCCTGGGTTGAGCACAGGGTTATCTGATATTAAATCAAAGCTCAAATCATTTGAAATACCATCATCCCTCAGTATTGTTAATACATTGGTTCTAGTAAAATCCTTTACTGGAAAATCTTCAGACTCTCAAGTATCCTGCATGAAAGAAAGTACTATTTTCATAAACATTCCCACATTCTCCTGTGTACCTTAAATTATCTCTAGATCACTTATACTTCTTGATGTAGTTTAAAGCCTACGTGAATGGCTGTACTGCATTATATGGGGAATTATGATAAGAGAAGTCTGTGCATCTTCAATACAGAGGAACCCATCCTAGGCCTGTCATAGTATGTGATCAGACATAGGGAAAGAATATTTAGTCACTGAGCACAGCAGAGAGATACGAGAGGTGCGGAATAAATCATGGACAGTGGATGCAGCGTGCACATCACTTCATCCCCATGGACTCAGCCCAGTGATTGGCAGGTGGCAAATTCAAGTTTTGCTATTTGGAACTTGCAAGAATTTCTTTTCTTCCCTGTGAGTTCTCCAGCTAGTTGAATCCAGATATAGAAGGCTGACTATGTAACATTGTTCATTTTTGTTTTCTTACTTTTCAAATACAAGTGGAAGTAGAGGTTAGCATGAGTCTTCCTGCATTAATTTAACCAGATTCAATAACTTGCAATAGTTTGTCAAGATCACTTAATTTAAAGCTAGAAAGAAGCATAGAATGCATTGCCCTGAAAACCACTCTCTTATATTTGAGTTTTTACCAAGTGCCCAAAAAATGAATGTGGTAGGTGCTAGATTATCATCCTTATTTTATAGATGGGAAGTTGAATAGATGCCCAACCTCCATGGTAATGACAGGTGGCAGAGCTGGCACCAAGATCGGGCATCCTGGATGCTATCCCAGCCCCTTCTCCCTGCAGCCCTGAGTTCCACAGATGCTCCTCAGCTTACAATGAATTATGTTTGGATCAACTGACTACTATAAACTGGATATGCATTGACCACCCCTACCCAATGCATCACTTTAATTCTGATGCATATAAAGCACAGTTATTTCCTCTCAATTGTGTGGTTTACTGGGAGCTGTGGCTTCTAGACCAGCATCCAGCGCATTGCGCTACATTCTGTTAGCTCAGGAAAAGATCCCAGTCCATAACACAGTTGGTTTTGTGTGTGGGGGGGTGCTGCCAGTCTTGGGGCTTGAACTCAGAGCCTGGGCACTGCCCCTGAGCTTTTGTGCTCAAGGCTAGTGTGTTAAACCACTTGAGCTACAACTCCACTTCCAGCTTTTTGGTGTTTAATTGGAAACTTCCTGGCCTGGGCTGGCTTTGAACCATGATCCTCATATCTCAGCCTTCTGAGAAGCTAGGATTACAGGCACAAACCACCAGCACCCAGCTCGTAATAAATAGTTTTGCCTGTGCTTCATATTGTACCATGATGAAGTTGGAAAGTCATAAGTTGAACCCTAAGTTTCATTTGTCTATGTCTGTGTGCAGTATGTGTAGAGACTTTGTTTATTCCGCTAGGGAGCCACTCAACACACTCAATATCAGAATTTACAAACTGCATGCTGTAATAAGATAAAACAACACCCACGGACTCTGTCTATCCTTCTACAAAGAATAAATGGGGTTACCTGCTTTACTGCATCTTCATAGGATGGAGGTTGGGTTATGTCTGGAACTGCTGAACTCGACTTAGAAAAAGTTGGGGATGGAATTGAGAACTTCGGCCCTGTCTTATCAGCAGAATGTAAGCCAGCCATCTGCATGTAGGCAAAATAGAGAAAGACATTTAATTCTTGGGTCAGAAGTAATGCAGCTTCTTCTCTAGAAATCAAAGGCTACATTTAGAAAAAAAATGATTGAAGATCAAATGATAGTAATAAAAGCCAGAGATAAGAAAATAACAAACAACTTTAATATACTAACAATGGCATGTATCACTGTGGATTGACTGCTGGTGATATCTTAGCCTGGGATCCTCATAGATCTGTTTCCTTCTCTGAAGAACACCTGAGGAGCACTTACAAAAGACAGGTTGAGAAAAGGAACTAGAAGAAGAGTCCAATCCAATGCAAATCAGTTCCTCAAGCCAGGATTTCCAGAGTACTTCATTTCCTCAGATCAATTTATTCCAAACTGGGGCTATTTTCAGTGTCAGAGAGGGCATTGCTGAGTTCTCTCTTCCTGAATCATTTGCTTATTGTATATTCTGTGGAGTGCCTGATGTATGTCTGGATCTCTGCCTATCTTGTGGCTTTTTTTTTCTTTCAGTTATTGAGATTTACACTCATAGCTAGGCTCTGTCCTTTAGCTTTTTTTGCTTAAGCCACAGCTCTACTTTTAACTTTTTGGTGGTTAGTTAGAGATAAGGGGCTCATGGACTTTCCTGCCTGGGCTAGCTTTGAACTATGATTCTTAAATCTCAGCCTCATGGGTAGCTAGGAATACAAACATGAGAGACTTAGTACCTGGCAATATGTGTCTTTGTTCTATTATGACTTGCTTATGTTGGTGTTTTTCTACTCCCTCCTCTGCTCCTAGGAACTTTTGGGCTCTTCATATCCTAGATCTCATCCATCATCAATGTGATGTGCATGGCTCCATCAGTTCATTTTCTACAGGGACCTGGCACTATGATTTCAATTTCCTGTATCCCTCTGCTCCTTTCCCAAGCTTCTAGTCCAATTCCGAGCTCCACAGAAACTGGATTGATGCCTGCATTGTTTTGCAAATATACCACGGCCATGTTAGCCATCATGATTTCTGGGATGATCTTGGAAATGACTCCTTGGGATATCTCCTAACCCTTATTTGTATAGTCATTTCAAGGTGGTTTGATTAGACCTGTCTCTCTTTAAATTGAATACTCCACCTCTGAACCTCATTATTCACTTTAGAGGACAGAGTACATGGAGAGAGATGGATGAGGAAATGTGGATCCCAAGTTTGAACTTTTTCCAGGTCCTTACCTTTGGCTGTACACCTGGGCTTTTAGGACAAGGGTTGTTCCCAGCACCATGACTGCTGTCATGTGCCCCTGAATTCTGCAGAAAGGAAGAAGTGACAAATTGAATGGCCAGCAGCCTACTTGAGTATGACTTTCACTTTTATGCTGATATTGGGGCTTGAACTCAGAACCTCATGTCCTCACTTGTCTTTTTTTGGCTCAGTGATAGCTCTCTGCCACCTGCACGACACCCTCCACTTCTGGCATTTGAGTGGTTTCTCGGACTTTCCTGCCTGGAACTTTGATCCTCAGATCTCAGCCTTCAGAATAGCTAGGATTACAGGCGTGAGCCAACGGCACACAGCTTAGTTTCTAGTCTCTGTTCTCTGTTCCCTAGTGTTTTATCTTTACAAAATTCCTTAAATTCTATGAGCAGATGGACTTGCTAGATGGAACTCCCCAAACCTAACTTTGCATGAGCCTACTGCTCACAAATACTGAGTGCAGGGGCTCTATGTCATACTGGTATATGCGTTCAAGACTGTACAGTATGGGGCTATTTACTTTTACCTTTGTGGTTGCCGGTATTCCTGCTGTGAACGTGACCTGTGCATTGTCCCTCTTGGACAAAGGCAAGTCATTGCTGATCACCGTGTTCTAGTAGCCTCCTTTTTTAGTGTTACTCTTCTAGAAAAATTCAAGCCCTCTAGGAAACCTTCCTGAACTTTCCCAGCACTTTATGACCATTCTACACGCGCTTCTTCTACACATACTTTGTACAGCATAATTTAATGCTGTAACCAAGTCAGTCATGTCATTTATATTGTTTTTCTTTTCATTACGGCATTGCTAATAACTATAAATGGCGATTGTCCTGCACCATGAGTCGCTAAACAAATGCTCGTGATTCTTCATAGCACCAATGCTATCAAAATGGAAAATTATGGCCAATTTTACCTTAAGGAGTTATATCTCAAGAGCCATTTCTACCTTTGTTGCCTAGGATACACGATATGTGATGGATGCGTATTAGCAATGCTGACAAGCCACTTTGACCCTTCCAGCATGCCCCTGTCAGAAGTGGAAGCCATTCATCTGAATGGGTTACTCAGGTAGATTTGTATGAATTCCTCCTCATTACCGTTAGCCTCATCCCAGACTCAGAGTAGTAATATTCAATCTGGCAATGGCATGAACTTTAGAACAAACTAATCATAAATTTGTGTGAGGTTGGATGTCTTTAGCTTCATGCCCTGAGCTTCATTTTTCTCAAAGGTGAATAAAAAATAATAAGTTGGAGGTCTTAATGCATGAGAGTAAGTACACACATGCCTCATGATACAATCAATGTGGGCTGTTTATTCCTTTACAATTTGGAATTATTTTGTAGTGTGCTTTTGAAGTTTGCTGGAGGCTCACTATGATAGTTCCACACATATGCACGGGGCACTTGGAGAAAATTCACCCACTCCTATCATCTTTTGATCGCTACTCTCCATCCTTTTCCCCTTTTTGAAGTGTTTGGTGGGTTTCATTGTGTTTTATTCACGTCCTTCAATCCTCTAGGTTATTATTATTATTATTATAGATAAAGTGTAATCACTCCCTGTGTCAAGACTCTAACTCATAATCTTCCTGCTCTACCTCCTGAGTAGCTGGGATTACAGGTATGCAGCGCTGTGCATGGGCTTCTTTTTGGGTCTCTAGAAAGAGGATTTGAGCTGAGATAAAGATTGTCACTAAAGATTTCTGAGAAATAGCTAAACTTTGCTCACTGACTATTTTTTTTGAATCCTATGCATTTATTTATGCAATGTGTATGGCTTCCCACATGATGCAAGAGTAAAGCTGAGCTGGGCACACCTCTATAATCTTAGCCACTCAGAAGGCAGACCTCAAGAAGGTTGTAATTCAAGGTCAGCCCAAGCAAAAACAGTTTATGAGACTCTCTCTCTCATCCCAAACAATAGCCTGTCATCTCAACTACAGTGAGAAGCACAAATAGGAGTATCACTTGTACCAACAAAGAAAGAGACCTGTCTCAAAAGGGCTGTGTGTCATCCATGTTCATTGCCATACTATTCACAATAGCCAAGTTATGGAAACAGCCCAGAAGCCCTCCAACAGATGAGTGGATCAATAAGATGCGGTACCTTTACACAATGGAATTTACTCATCCAGTAGGAAGAATAAGATTGTGTCATTTATAGGGATATGGACGGACTCAGAACAAATCATGCTAAAAAAAGAGATAAGCCAAATTCAGAGACAATGTTTTCTCTCATATGTGGAAACTAGAACTAAAATATAACCGGACAGGATAAATTACACAGGACTCTAGGTATCCACACACAAACAGACTAAAGGAGGATACCCTTAGGGGAGGAACCCAAAGATGTAACTTCTCTGAACATTCAAAACACTATAAAAATGAATTCCAGGAAAGGAACATGGTTGTCATTGTTTTGGGGGTTGTGGTAGTGTTTGTTTTTGCTTCTGGATTTTCCTTTTGTTTCAAAGGAAGGCAAAGGGAAAGCACAGAAGGGGAAGAAGGGTAAACAAATGCAGTCATCTTGTTCAGTGGACACTATGTGAAAAATGAACTGGGGGAAAAAAAGAAAAGGCTGACATTTGTCCAAAAAAAGAAATGTACTCATTACCTGACTGATGACATGGTAACCCCCTTCATATCACCAATAAAATTATATTTTTAAAAAGATCTCTGTGTGTGTGACTCAAGTTGTAGAGCTCCAGCTTAGCAAGCATGAAACCCTGAGTTCTAATCCCAATACACCAAAGATGGATAGTTGTGCCACAGATGGTATGAGCTGCAAAGCTCCAAATATTTACCCTCTGGCCTTTGAAGTTAGTGAGCCCTTGACTTAAGGCACAACGGAATTGGATATCCCTGGGAAAGCTTGTGGATTGCATTGTATGTGTGGGACCCTTCCTCTCCCACATTCCAGCATCAGCATCCATCTCCTACTTCCCTGGGGAATGGTGCAAGGTGTTCTTACCTGTGCGGGGCACACCTGGCTGCTGCACACAGGGGAAGAGACCCTGTGTCCTTCCCCCTGCGCCCCAGGTAGGAAGTACTGGTTGTTGGGTGACGGGGGCAAGCTGATATGCTGTGGGCTCTTCACGGCCCCCAGGGGTGAATGCTGAGGAGAGCACTGTGGGCTGAGAAATGTGGAGGACAGTACGTTGCTTTGGCTTGAGGACTCTCCACCGTGCGCCTTCCCCAGGGGCAGGAGCGGAGCAGCGTCCCCAACAGCCTGCGCTTGGCCCTCAGCGCCGCTGCCCTGCCCCTTGGGTATTTGCTGGACTGCAAAGGGGCAGCTGGAGACGGCGTCCTCCTGCTTGATGGGGACCGCCAAGAAAGGCAACGCCTTGTCATCTGCGCAGTGGTGGCCCTTCTGCTTCTGGAGCTGCATCCGCAGCTCCTCCACCTGCCTCTGCTCCTGCTGCAGCTTCCAGGTGAGTTCGTTGATCACCTTCTGCTTCTCCACCAGCATCTTGTCCTTCTCTGAGTCCAGCCCATCCAGCTCGGAGGGAGCCGAGCCCCCGTTCAAGCTGCTCAGGAGACTTTCCTCCGTGCACACGTGCACCGGGGACGGGTGCAGGCCGAAGGATGGAGACGCATCATGGAAGGTGTCTGGCAGGGATCCGGCCACCGACAGGTCGGATGAGGCCGGGGAGATGGGTGGGCTGGAGCTGGTGCTGCCGAAGTGGTAGAAACCATTGGATAAGGCACTGGTGGAAGGGGGAGACTGGTAATTGGGCAGGGCATTGGGCGTAACAGGAAAAGTGACCGTGGTTATGTCCCCAAAGTTGGGCATAGGGTTTCCAGAGCAGTCTTGGAAGGGTCGGAGCCGGTCCATCAGAGCCGTCTTGGTGCCTGACACGGGCAAGCCTCGGATTCGAAGCTGTTGTCTTAATTCAGAAACCTAATGAATGAAAGCAGAACATTATTACTGTTGGTAATGACAGGTATTTTTAAAATGTATTTAAGGTTAGCTTTAAAGGATCACGCATGGAATTTTTGCAGTACTCACTTGCCTTTTTATCAAATACTTCTTTGCAATTTCCTTGCTCATCCATCTTTCTTTCTTCCTTCCTTCCTTTCTGCCTGCCTGCCTGCCTGCCTTCCTTCCTTCCCTCCTTCCTTCCCTTCTTCCTTCCCTCCTTCCCTCCTTCCTTCCTTCATTCTTCCTTCCTCCTTCCTTCCTCCTTCCTTCCTTCCTTCCTTCCTTCCTTCCTTCCTTCCTTCCTTTCTTCCTTCCTTCCTTCCTTCCTTCCTT